CTAAACGATGATTAACGAGTCACTGCGAGATTGATGCTGTAACCAAAGTTAATTCAACCACGGTGTCAGGAATAAACTATAACAGACTACGTTTAAAAGGATAACAGATTAAGAAACGAAATTACTGAGATAAGGCTTTTAATTTTTAGAACTTTTAGAATTTTTTAGGGATCTTTTTAGGAATTTTCATTTCGTATTAGTGATTATTAATTAATTTTTCATTTCTAATTTATATTTGTACTTTTTTTCTTATGCACAGCTTCAGTGTAAAAAAGTGGTTAGCTTTCTGGATTCTGTGAGAAATAAAGTTATTATTATCGTTATAGTATTAGGCAAAAAAATAAGACAAAATTGAAATTTCTAGAGATTTGAGAAACGTGGATTGATGTGGTTTTAGCATATGATCATGTTAACTGCATTCCTTTGGTTTTCCAAATAAATTGATGTCACAATAGCACACGCAATTAAATCTTCATTATCAAATAAAAAACACGTTACGTAATTTAAGGGGGGAGGGAGTTATCACTCGTTGCTTTAGAATTAGCTAAGTCGAGGAAGAGGTATTCTTGGAGTTATAGAAAAGTTCTTTGAAGCTAGCTGTTCCAGCTTTTGTCGTTATTAATGGCACTTAATCTACGATTGGTTTTGTTTAGATGTTATATGATTCATCGGTTAAACAAAGAGTGCCACTAATGAATGCAAGACAGTGAGTATACAATTTAAATAAGGTCAATGTAAAGTCAGCCACACCGCCACAAAATGCCAACAATAATTATTGACAACAAAGTATAAGATGGTTTTGGAATTGGGGAGTTCGATTAAATGGCTCAAACAACTTCGGGGTACCTTCTACTTGACAAGGAAAATGCTACTTTAACGATAGAGTCTGATAGCAGAAGCACCTTTGAGGTTGTCGTCCAAGCTACGAGCATGGCTTTCATCTTGTTATCTGGTTGTATTGGTAATATCTTAATTCTCTTAGCAATCTATGTCGATAGGACACTCCAGACGGTGACAAACTCTTTCCTAATCAACCTGGCTGTAGCAGATCTCTTGCTATCGTTGATTGGGATGCCATTCACGCTTGTATCATCAGTGACTTACGAGTGGATATTCGGGCCTGCTTGGTGTAACATCAATGGTATGGCAAACTCTTTATTCTGTGTCGCATCAATAATGACTTTAGCTGCTGTCTCTATCGACCGATATATCGCTATAATACACCCCTTGAGGTACACATCTTACATGACAAGGAAGACCGCGGGTTTGATGATTCTGTACATCTGGGCTCATTCGTTATTGGTCTCTCTTCTCCCAGTGTTTGGATGGTCCGAGTACACATTCCTACAAAACGAATCCATCTGTACTGTTCATTGGCAGTTAGATATTTCATGTACGATGTTTATTTTTGTGGTATGTTTCTTTTTACCACTTGCAGTCATATCGTATTCTTATTCTAGAATCTTGAAGACTGCCTGGGCTCAATCCAAACGAATTGTCCCAGTAACTGGAAGGATTTCTSTGCGAAAAAAAGACTTGACTCCGGCAGACTCGAGTACGAATTTAAGCCGAAATTTAAGCGATGGATCATTGGATTCTCGCCATTATCAAATAAGTCGAGATACGGTGTCTACTTATGGCCGAAGTTCAGGATCTCAGTCAACAGATGAATTCTTGAGTAAAAACTTGAAAACACAAGACAAAAAACCAATGCCTTTGAGAATTCTCGAAAACAATCACGCACAGTACTTTGATGGTACAGGAATTTCTAAAATACCTTCTCTGTACACAAACGAGCCGTATGAAGATGTAATTGCTATGAATTTGGATAAAAACGCAAAACTAAACGATGAGGCTCAGAAAGAAACTCCACTACACAACACAAGCACTTTAAAAATGCTGGTTAATGAAAAAAATACAAGAGCTATAAAAGAGAAAAACAATGTAAAGTATGAAGAGAGTTTGTTGTCCATTGAAAATGCAAATAACAACGAGTACCATAAACCTTCTACGTCATTCAATTCGAGAATAAAAGATACARGCATTTTTGTAAACGGCTGTATTGATGAAGGTGAGAAAGGGGGGGCTTCAGTTTCTTCAGAAAAGATGCTTGTAAGAGGGAAATATGATGAACATAGAAGAACCCCCGTGCCTCAAGGACTGGAAAAAGATCTAGAGATRGCAAGCGATAGAMGTTGCAAAGAAGAAATGCAAGATGTCATAAACAAAAGTGATGATAGTTTGGGAATCTGTCACTTCATGGACAATGAAGTCGTACATGAGGATACAATGGGTTCAACCACTGGWATTAATCTCCGTAATGATGCGGAGCAAGGTTCTGGTAGCTCTGCACAAGGCTCCATAACCTCTGATGATGTCTTCCTACCGTCTAGTCATGATGCTGCAAAAAGAAAAGATCTCCATGGAAGTGATGAGAAATATTTTGAAACCAATAACAACAATGTTCTATTAMCTGCYTCGACACAAAACAAAAATGGAAGAATACATCATTTTCAAAACACACGAAAAGCAAGAATTTCTGTCGTGGTATCTTCCGAAACACCAAATKATTCACCACGACCAGAAAAGCGTCAAAGRAGAGTCACTTTAGCTACCTATCCGAAGAGTTATTTGGAAAACCGAGTCGTTAGCCCTAAATCTAGTACCCAAACTACACAATACTGCAGAAGAGAAAGAGATGGACTTYCTGGARTAAAAGATTCTGAGGTTTCGAAGTCGACGCCTTGTCTTAAAAACGCCTCATCGCAGGTATCYCTTAGGGTTGAAGATGCTGCAARTGTTATCAAGCGAAAACTAAGCAGTTGGAACAACCCTTCAGCTTCGATACAAGCGCTAAAGAAGAAGTGCACCAACACTACTGCAGGGATATTGAAAATGAAGCAAGACAGAAAAGCAGTGAGGACTTTATTGATTGTTGTAGGCACATTCGTGTTGTGTTGGTTGCCACAYTTCATTGGTATATTCTGTCTYATTACRAACGAATGTACGTGGCCTGATCGATATTTTGCGATAACAACATGGCTTGCCATGTTGAACTCGGGMTGTAACCCCGTWATCTATGGAGCYATGAGTAGACAGTTTAGGAAACGYTTTCGACAGATACTACAGTGTAAGAGAGGATTCTTTTGAAACTAAGATGATACAGATTTTCTTATCAATTCTTTACCCATTTGTGAATAATTCATTAGAATGTTTAGCCCTAAAAGCTTTCACGATATTAGAAATACTGAAAACAGGAAAGAGTAACTTAAATAATTATTAAATAAACTTCAATTTTGAAATTACATTTTTATTTTCGGTGTAAACTAATCTCGAAATTCTCGCCCAAAGAACTTAACATCTTCTTTTCAATATTCATTTCTTTTGAAAGGTAAATCCCAAAGCAAACAAACGTTAATGGAACAGGACCATAGAGCAAACACTGTACAAAATTGCMAAAAGGATAAATATGAGTTACAATGAAGGTTTGACCTGTTTTGGTGGTCTCCATAGCGTAATGCGAATATAATCCGTAGAAACTGTGTATGACTAAGTCGGCAGGCGCTGTCTGAGTGATACTCAGTGATCCTACACGCTTGGGCTCGGCTTCTCTCTATCCCAGACCGTCGTAGCTTTAGCTTTGCGGAAAGCCTTTAACGAAGGATCACACATGGTTGGATGGGGTAAATACACAGTCTACGGACCTGTATACAAACTGACTGGACCTAAGTAGGACGCTATCTTGGGAGCTACATATTTATATGCACGCTCTTTTTGATTCTGAAAATAAATATGAAAAAATAAAAGAAGAAGAAAACGTCTTCATCAGGATATAGTACCGACTTAACTAGTCCCCTCAGTTGAAGTCCAATTATATTTGAAACTCCATTGCATTTTAAGAAAAAATATCTTCTGTAAGTTCAGTGTAAGTTTATTATTTATTCGCATTTCTTCGTCATCTTCTTCTTCTTCATCATTGCCTTCTTTTTTATTTTCTTATTGCTGCTGCTGCTGCTGCTGTTATTATTTTTCTTAATTCTTGGCTTTTTCCTCCTCTTCGTCGTCTTCTAGTTATTCTCCTCTTCCTTCTTCTCCTACCCTCCTTCTCCTTCACATCAATCCTCCTACTCGTGCTCGTGCTTCATACTTCTTCTTCTACAACATCACCGTCTCCTTTTTTTCAAATTGCTGATGCTGTTGTAATTGTTGTAGTTCTTTTCCTTTTCCTTTTCCTCCTCCTCCTCCTCCTCCTTCGTCTGTATTCACTCTGTACTAGATTCTTAAAATTAATAATCAAATCAGCCCCGAATTATTTCTTCTCATTCAACACTTGGTAAATTAAATCTTCGCTCTTCGCCACAACAGCAAAGATAAGCATGCATTTGTCTTCTATTTTTCCCTGGACAAATTTTATCCTTATCATAGTTTCCAAAACAAGAGACTTTCTTGCTAAAACTATTCATATCCGAGTAAAATTGTTTCAAATATTTTCTTTTTGGTGTCGCAAGATATCTTTCACTCCCAAACGACGAGTAGGTACTGGAGCTGAGTGCAAATTGGTGTTGCATGGGAGGGGAGGGTGAGTGGTATAGTATTCCTCGCTTTTCTAATCTTCGCATAATTTCGTTACCCGAAACATCAATTCTTCGTCTTGAAAGACTTCTGTATAACAAACTCTGGCGTATTCCAGTTACTTTACTCGATTCTATTCCATTATTTTCTTCATTCTTTTTGATCCGGTAGTCCAATATAATATTCCTTTCGTCTGTAACTACTTTCCCACATTTGTTGTCCTCTTTTCTTTCTCTCCCGTGTTCATGGTGCTGAACAGCTGCAATACTGATTTGAGGAAATGATTTTCCTGCTCCAAAATTCGAGAATTTATCGCTATATTTCGGCCTTTCGCTGTAGGAAAAAAATTTCTTCGTAGATTTGCAATGTTTCATTTCACTAAGCTTGGAAAACGAACGAAATCTTCCTTTCTCGTAGTTCAGACTATACAACGTCTAACAACATAAAGTCTATGAATTTCTGCTGGTTTTCCATTCAAGGAAAATAAGAAAATCAGTTATCTTTTTGGCAGCCAGAGTTAAAATGCGTCGTCTTGGTGTTGTTGCTGTGGAGTGCTATCTTCATGACATCCAACGATAGCTATCGATGACATTCCGTCTCGAAACTAGGAAACTCTAGTTCCACTTTTGTCATCTTATCTTCTTAATAATTCATAATATTGTTACTTTATCGAACCTCTTCCATAACAAAAGGCGTACAGTTGACTTTTCGAAGGATTTTCTGGTTTTTTTTTTGTTCGTATCTGAAAGTACAGTTGTGAGAAGCGAATCCTCAATGAGAAATATCCATAGAATGGCAATATTTTTGAAGCCGGTATTGACAAACTACCTAGACGCGATGTCACAATGATTTCTACCATTTACACTTTAAAACAAACATATCTCTCGCTAATTAAAGAACGAAAATACATTTGAATTACCATGAAGTAAAAGTAAATAATTATTCTTCAGAATAACAGAAAAGAATGCATAGAATATTTATCATCATTGTTTTATGAATTCGTTGAACAAGAATCCGATTCGAAATTCTCACAAATCAGAGAATAATGAAAACTCCATTTCGTGTAAGAAAAAAATGACTTTTTTCATTTCTAATAAATGTAATTTTGAATTTGTTTGATTCTAAAATATATTYTATTGATAAAATATTCAAATGGTTCAATAGTTTATGTACAGATAAAAAATAACAAAACTACTATAAAYATATTCTAATAAAACCTGTTTACAACTACAACTATGGTTACAAACTGGAGTTGAATAAATATTGCATATATTTCATGCTACATTCAAATACCCAAGTTTGGTGAGTTAAGTTTACAACTCGTAACCTCATGATTCCTTTAATATTATTTCTTTCTTTACTGAAAGCTGTATCGAGGAATCCTACTTTCAAGCGGTTTCGAAATGGGAAAAGATTAATAAAGATGTGTCCCATTTATGTATCCGGTCTACTTTAACTACAAATAATTTTTTTAAAAGCATTATCTGAATGTAGTCTACTCGATATACCACAGGAAATCCAATCCAAAGGCCCTTTATATGAGAAGGGATTCAATTCTTTTGGGATTCTAAAGTTCTGTCATCCAGCATGAATGAGATTTGGAATGTAAAGACACGATTACACGAAGCAATTCTCACGAAAGCATGCGCAACGGCATTGCGACACAAGTTGTATGGAACATTGCAGCGTGAAACCTACATCGCAATTTGAAAAAAAATATCCGCGCTAGAAAAGTTGCATTAATCTATCGTTGCAAAAAATAGAATTCGTTTCTACTTTTGGCAACACAATGATTGCGTCTCTGTTGCATCGTGTAAACCCTCTTGCAATTTGTGTCGCAACGCTGTTGCGCGAGACAAGCTGCTGAATGGAAAAGTGCTCCATGTAGTCGCGCCTTAAAATCAATTAGAAATTTTCACAAGAATATCATTCTTTGTGCCCTTTTTTGGGTCCCTCAGTGTGACATAGTACGTCCTCCAAGATCTCAGTCATCTGGAAGGGGTAACGATAGAAAGAAAATCATCCCCCTCTTCCATCCTCCCACCAAAATGCTCTGTAATCCCGGAGACGTTTGTTTAGCTATTTCTTTTGCTTTTTGTCAATCGTTGGCAGTCGATATGAACACCCGATACCGGGGATCACCACCGACCGGATCTTTCTCTTAACATTCTCCGGTAGAGCATTGTAGACTTCGTCTTTATCGCTCTCGTTATACAATCCCGGTTCATTTTTGGTCTTCAGTTCCTCTCTTTTCGTTTGTGTCACTTTAGGGCTTTGTTTATAAGCCTCATGCATGTGTCCCGATGGGACCTCTTGTTCTTCAATATGCTTGATCCATTTTTTGCTATTTTTCCACCACTGTTCTCCATTACTTTCCTTTACTGGACTCCATCTACTCTCCATCTCTCTAACCAACACACCACGGCTCTTTCGTGACTCAATGCCAAGCGCTACAGCCAAATGCCTGAGCTCACTGATCTCATCTGGGAAGAGTATAAGACATTCATTGAAATCATCCCGGACAAGGGACGGCGAATATGAAGAATAATTCAACCCCACTTCATCAGAATCAGGCGAAATACCCACAGCTCTGTCCTGAGGAGATTTGGCTTTTACTTGACGCTGTACAGTTTGTTTATCTCGGTGAATAATTGCGGGAAAGTGGATTGACCTCTTAGAGTCACAAACGCATTTTTGTCTGGTTTCCTTGGAGACTCGTTCGCCATAGCGTCGATGCGATCCGTTGTAACCGTTTTTTATCATCAAGTTGGACATTTTTGCTCAAYATCAYATCTTTTTTCCTTCAGCGGGTKTTATGTACAGACCATGATTTACGTAAAGTGATAATCCTGATGTTATTAAACGCTGTTTAAAATTTGTTCCATAGTCTATCATTGTCGTCACACGAGGACGAAAACTTTCTTCGTTTTGAAATCTTTCTCAGAACCCTTCTGCTCGAACCTGTCAGAAAATCGGTAACCCTTTCCTCTCAATGACAAAATTACTCCTGATAATTCTTTAACGCTCAACAAGAAGTCAAAATCTTGAGGAATAGTTCTTAGTTACTAAGGAACTAAGAGACAAACATGACAGAGGGAACCGATAGCTTAGTTATTGTGATACCGCTGAATAGATGTCACGCAGGAGCCAATAGTAACAGACTGACATGTATATGTCAAATATTGCTGTTTTGGACGACTTTCACAATGTCAAACTTGCTCGAAAATCAATTGTTTGCTCAAGTCATATCYATATTCATGTGTCTTCGATGTACGTGCACGCATTCTTATTATACATTGATTATTTTTTTATCGGCCAAGGGGTCAAAATACTAATAAGTAGCACAACTTTGAAAAATTTTATGATGATCGGACATCCGGGTCGGACATCTGTATTATGACATGATGATTCTTACGATGCTCACTTGCATATCAGTCTCTACGCCACCCCTTCCATATTATTAAGAGGAAATTTTTTTCAATAATGAATAATAATGGAAAAAGCGCCAAAACCTAGACTTTCGTATGAGTTTTGATCCCAATTTTCGTTTTGGGTTAAAACCTTCCTTAAACAGTTAGAAACTGATATACTATGATAAAATGCTTGCTTGAAGCGGTATTTTCAATTGTACAAAGTTGTTTTGTTGCATTTGTGTTAGAATGTTGCTTTGTCAGGCTTTTTATAGAAAATATATGGAAAATAAGCAAATGAAGGCCTAAACCTCATTTTCGAATAAAATTTTTTGCTTTGGGTTAACACTTTGATTCCACTTTCATCGGTCATCTCCACTTCCAAACAAGTTAAACTTTCTGAATAACAAGATTTTAGCCTTGTACAACAGCCTTTCTTCAAGAAAATAGTTTTTGGCGCTCACTGCTTGAATTGCTTACTATCAATCACGTGACTTTTTGGAGTTGACTGGGGGGCAAACAAGCGGTTGACTGGGGGGCAACTAGCGGAKGCTAAGTCAAAGTATGTCAAAATAAGTCCTCAAACTATTGCATTTGACTATTTTCACGACATCAAACCAGAAAAMAAGAGATCAAAACAACCTCCAGGATTCTACAAGCCATCAAAAAAAGCTATTACCGGAAGTGACGTCTATTGATAGCAACCATTCGATGTCTGGAAGTATGGTCCTGGTTAATTGGTCAATAAGAAGAAAGAAAATTCTTGAAAAACTCGCTCTAACAGATCATGCTTTTTGTTTYGCACGGCTAGACATTAACGCTACCCCTAAACGTAAACCTTTTTGATCGGTTGAAAATTCGTCCGGTACCGTGTACGCACGTAGCCTAAGTTTATTGTTTTTCATTTTGTTGATAAATACAAACACTTCTTTACATAATTATTCTGCTTGTATAGTACAAGGGGTAATATATCTGTCACATATCTATTTATTTATTAGCTTTACAACCACGTGAGTAGAAGAGAATTTGATAAAAACAAAATACAAACTTATAATGGCAAAAATAAGTAAAGAATAAATAAATAAAAATATATCTGTGAAAAAAAATTTAACAGAATCATACAAATTAGTACAAAGTTTTATAGGTCTAGGGTCTACTGAGGTCTAATTAACTTACTCATTTGTGCAGATTTGTGCAATTTTTTACAAAGTTTTTCACGGGTATATATATGGTATGCATTCTTCTCTGTGCTACACTGGTTGGTGGTCTGACCAACAGAACATACACATGCCAACAGGACATAGATGAGCGCCTGAGTATTCATCAATACAATGTACACTTCTGAGTTTTTGAAAAATTCAAATCCCTTCCCAAAACCCCGATTGAGGAAGCGRGACCACAGTTTGCTTTGCAGTGTATTGTGGGACTGTTTTAGGCGACATATATCCAAGATGGCGTCTATTTCGACAATGCAATGCAATGCTAACGCTTAAAATTTTTCTTAAAATATACATTACAATAATTTGTTCTCACACAGCACACACAATAGTTAACTTAGTTTTTTCGACAGCGMTCAATAATACTGGCTTATTCCAGTCGTAATCATCATTATCATTTGGAAAAGCGCGCGTTATATCTAGCGGGCGTTTTTGCCATACATTTCACACACCAAATATGGTAACGTTACCCTTATTTGGAGCGAGGAGAAAGCGATTCTTTTTCCACTGCACATAATTAATTYATATATTCCTTTGGCTTGATTATTCTCGATTATTAAGGGACTTTCTTACTCTTCTATTCCGACGTGTTGGCGAATGGTCTTCGRCATAACCGTTCGTCACGACCAGGTCGTTTCCATTCAAACGTTTCGCTTTTTCCGGAGACTTACCGAGTGATCTCCGACTTCTAATACTTCCCGAAGCTGATTTAGGATGATTCTTTGCCGATTGAGTAATTTTCGGCGAATTGTCTCCATTCAATTGAAGAATTTCCTCCTCTGGGTTCGACTGTTCGGTATCTACTTCTGTAGTCGACTGCGAAGGGGACTGACCTTTCCGAGAGGCTGACGAATACTTATCGATTTTGCGAAGGGATTTACCAAGCATGCTTCGTAAATTGCTCGCATCTTCTCCGACGGYACGAAGTGATTTATCGAGTGAAGTTCGTACTTCACGAAGTTCTTCTGTTTTCAGAGCGGCTTTGTTCATATGCCACTCTTTTTCGCCTCTCTCTTCCTTTAATTCTAGTTTCAAACCAGATACCTAAAATTGTTGCAAAAAAAGTTAGCCAAATTGAACATTCCTCTTTTTTTAAACAATGAATATCAAATAAATCGACTCTAGACAAACCTGATCAACACTAAGTCTTTTTAAATAACTGAGCAGAAAGTACTGCCATTGTAATTAAACCTACAAATACTACAAATAAACTTTCAAGTGGCTCGGACGACCACTTAAATGGCGGTCCCGTCTCTCCACACTTCATCATTACTRACCAACATAGGAGGGACGTAAAAGAAAAACTGAGGWCGTAAAGAAATCCTGGCAGTGAYCACTCTCAGTGCCTACACCTCATACTAACCATCCCTCATGATTGTAAATTGCTTAAAAAGTAAAGGAGGTTTTGCACAATCACTTGCCCATCCCATGATACTGCTTGAGCTTCCTGTGGTTAGATGGCAGAACAATAAAATCCCTTTGCTCTTGGAAATTGAATTCTTTCTTATGTAAAAYGATTGTATTGTTCCTGCCAWCTAACATGGCTGCCGTCACGTGGTGGTGCAAAACCTCTATCTCGAATACATAACTTAATATACAGCTCCTTTGATTATCTCCATATCGCTATATAAATCATGCCATAATCATCATTACCTGTTTTTCTAGATTTGCAACCTGTTTTTCCAAATGTTCATTCTTATCTTTCCATCTCTTTTCCTTTTTCTCGGAAGAGCGCTGGGCTTTCTCCACAACAGCGTGTGCTTTGGAAACGTCGTGAACCAACTGCTCTCGATGGCGACTGGCAACTTCCGCCAGGCTGAAACAACACATGAGAAAATTAAGAGAAACTCAGGGTCGCTCGATCCTCGTTAATACCGACAGAGGCTAAAGTGTTCGCATTAAGAGGGTGTCCGCATTTAGCAGGTTCATTTGCATATCACGGCTGATATTAACAATTTATTGTAATGATGGGTAATCACAAGCGGTCTATAAAACAGAGGAATATAWTGAAGAAATAGAAAACGCGCGCGCGTGCTGTTTGCAGTTACAAAGCACGCGGGGATTTGCAGAACACGAGATAAGTGTTAGGAGAAGTGCTTCTCGACACTTCTCGAGTGTTCTGCCAATCCCCAAGTGCTTTATAACTSCATACAGCGCAGCAAACAAGCTTTTTATTTCTTTTATAAGGGCGTGTGCGTGTTGTGTGCTCTCATAAAGCACGCGCTCCCAACCAATCAGAATGCGAGATTTATAACAGTAATTTTATAATGCCATATATTGTTCTCTCACCTTTGCGTGTGCTTCTCTTCCATCTCCTGCACTATCATTTGCAGCGTTTGTAACTCCCCCCTCAGCTGTTGATTCTCTATCTGCGTATCTTCTAACGTTTTGTTTATTTTACTCTTTTCTTGTGACGTCTCGTAGAGAGACTCTTCAAAACTTAGCCTYTCCTTCTGTAGCCGTTCCATTGTCCTTTTGAGCGCAGCAACATCCTTCGCTACTCGTACATTAGACCTTTCTAAGTCTCGTTTTTCGTCTTCAAACGAGGAATTGTTTCTGATTAAAGTGTTATTTTGTTCTTTTAAAGCTGTGTTTTCTTCTTCGAATTCTCGTAAACGTAGAAGAAACTCTTCTTCCCTCTGCTGTCGTTGTTGTAGAACTCCTTTCATATGCTTTAACTGGTTCTCGAAGTCGCCAATGCGAAGCGCGGAATCCTCCCCAGCGCGYTCGTAGAAAATACTCTTCTCCTGTAACATTCGAGTTTCGTTTCTGCTTTCTTTTAAATTTTCTTTCATTTTGGCGATTTTTTCGTCTTTTATTTTCTTTTCGTTTTCGTTAGAGTCTAATAGACGTTGGAGTTGGAAGATTCGGTCCTGTAAGTTCTGAGAGCTGCTGTTGCTGTCTGCTAAAGAAACAGAGAGAGATTGGATTTTATCTTTCAGCCTTGATTCTTCCTCCTCGGCTCTTGATAATGATGAGGTTAGCTTTTCAACAGCCAGTTCCAGGTTAACGACGTTGTTTTCTACTTCCTGTGAAGGGAGATGGTAAGATAATGAGAAAGTAGTTGATATGCGCAGAAAGAAAACAAAATGAAATAGGAAGGATATGGAAAGAAATGGTGTGGAACGGAATAAAAATGAAAGAGGCGGAAATGGAATGAAAAATGGGAAAGGGATGAGAAGAGAAGAGACGGGAATGGAATGGAAAAAGAGAGAAGGAAAATGGTGGAAGAAAAGGAGAAGATAGGAAACAAAACGAGAAGAAAGAAAAGAAAAGAAAAGAAATGGAAAAGTGAAAATATGTACATATTTATGCAAAAAAAAGAATCTATCAAGCAATTAATAAAATAGAATATGRCAAAGAATCAGACAAGGGCACGAAATAAAAATTGAATAAATAAAAGGAGCAGACAAACAAATGAACATTTACCTGTTTATCTCTCATCGTCACTGACAATCTCTCTCGTATTTCTCTATTTTCTGCAACAGTATCATCACAGACTTTCTTCATTCTCTGCAGCTCACCATTAAGTGCAGTTATCTTCAGCTCTAATTTGGCACGTAAACCGGATGCAGCCTCGATCTCGTTACGTAAGGTATTATTACCATCACGTAACCTCGATTCCATGTCCTGAAGGTCCCGGATCTTGTCTTGTAATACCTTGCGCTCGTTTTCTGACAGCGAAAGCGTGCTTTCGAGCATTTGGAGTTTTTCTGTGGTAGCGATGATATCACGCTCTAGTTTTTGCATTGCTTCTTCCTGTTTGGGTTAGAAAATTGAAAATTATGAACTGTTTTTTCCGAAGGTAATGATGTCCCTGGGTAGTATTTTATTTGGTGACCCTGACACGTATTTTTTTCCCCTGTCTCGAGGGAAAGGGGTGGAGAAGAGAAGAGAAGAGAAGAGAAGAGAAGAGAAGAGAAGAGAAGAGAAGCTTTATTTGCCCCCCTGATGCCCCATAATGCCTTGCGATCCAAGATGGCCGCCGTATCGTCGAAGTGGTCCATTTAAGGTGGTCCTTCTCTCAGAAATAGGACGAACATATATCATCAGCAACACAGGTTACCCACCTTAAGAGACAGCGAATCCTGTGAGGAGCTAAAATGATCTTCAAACTGTCTCTTCTGTTCCTTCAATGTATTAACCTCTCCGTGCAGGTCCTTCATTCTACTACTGGCCGCGGCACGGTCTTCCTCCATGTCTGTCACTAATCGCTGGAGAGTTTCGACTTTTGCAACTGCTTCGTCGCCTCTTCTTTCTGCTTCTCGTAGATTCTGTAGTAAGTCATTGAGAGCTGTTTTGATGTAGTCGGTGTCTATCTCGTCCATTGATTCTTCTGTTGACAAGAATGAAGAACTTGCTTAAAGAAAGGAATGAGAAGGTACTGTGATTGGAGTAAAAGGGTAGAATTTGAATAACTAGGGTTGTCAGAGGGGACTGTTGCTAGAATAATCAGAATATGGATGGATGGGTGGATGGGATGGATGGATGCAATAAATGGATGGGATAGATGAAATGGATGGATGGACGAATGGATGAATGGATGAATGTATGGATAGATGGAATAGATGGACGGGATAGATGAATAGGCAAATGAGTGGGATATATGGATTGGTTGAACGGAGTTAAGAGGATAGGATGGATAGATGGATGGATGGAGGGTAGGAATGGGATAGATGGATGGCTTGATTGGTTGCTGGATCAATGAACATAGGGAGGGACATAGATGACATAGGTAGAGGCGTAGGCGGGTGGCTAGGTAAAGGAAGGACCCCACGAGCCCCACCCATTCTTCACATAACACAAACACCTATATACTTACCAGAAGAGGAAGACAATTCTCTCTGCTGTCTACTTCGACTGAACGACATTYTAGCTTTCTTTGGGCTCGCTGGTGACTGTGCTTGAGATCTTATTCCAAGCGTGCGTCTCAAAATGGAATACAAACTATTCAACTTGTATTCAGAGTCGAGTTTCAGTCCTTCTAGTCTTCCAATCTGAGTCTCTAGTGCGGTGATTCGACCGTCACTTCCTGCCAAGAAGAAACAATCCAATTTATTCACTGCTATATAAAGTCACATTCTTTTTTTTTTT